GAGTATTCATGAGAGAGTTGTATGAAAATTATTGTTTATTGTACTGAACCATGTAAAACTTGTCTTGGAATTGCATGTTCTATATTTTGTGGAGTCTTGGGAAAGATGGGATTAATTCTTCTTCAGTTCCAACTCCTTTAATTTATTTCCAAGACTGGCCATCAATGCAGCCCTTGTGCAATTTGTCTTCTTTTTACAGAAGCCAAGAATGAGAAGAAATTCAAAGTGACATAGAAGCAGCTGCCTAGTCCTTGAAATTTAACAAAGATTAACCTACTCAAGTGTGCCTGGAGAGAAAGACAAGAGTCAAATGCAGGCTGCCCCTATCTTGGCATTGCATGCCATACCCATCAGGCTCCTGCCCACAAATTAAGAGATGCAGAAGACACTGTGCCAATTAAGGCACTGTTGAGTGTGCTGTTTGGAAGTATCACTCCAGATGCCAGCTCATGAACTGTTAGCTTAGACATAGTTGGCCTGCTGTTATCCACTCCATTTGTTGAAGTTTGTTGTTTGTTGAGTTGCCCAGAGGACGTGGTGAGAAGGCAGAGGGAAGGCTTTTTTTTTTAGTTTCTCTTTCAATTGATATTTGTTTGATAAGACCTACAATAACAAATAACCATTAGTAACCTGCACAAACCATAATAGCTGTGGCACCTTGTGACAGTAATTGCATGAAGAATTGCCATAGAATCTACTAAAGATCCAGTAACATTGATTTTTCCCCTTGAGGAGGCAGTTTAAACCAGGACTGACACTAGCCCATTCACAGGTCAATGGTTAGTTGTTGCAATTTGGGTGCGAGATCAGAAGATAAACAATTACTTTACGATTTTGATCACAGGTAACAGTTCCACGATTGTTTCCAGAAGCTTTTACCCAGCAAAGCTACAGTTCGCAATGTAGTAGTTCTTGGCCCAGGTTTACTCTATGAAAGAGACCATATACTGTATATGGTACTCGGCTTACATCAAAGTATGGTGACGCTGGCTTGCTGTGACATAAAACTTGGTAATTTTGGTGCTGTCCGAGGGTCATGGGGTGGAGGGATTGGCAAGGAAAGATATTTTGAACCCGAGATATTAAGAGGTTTCAGATGGGATGCAGTAAGCTAGAGTGGCATCAAGGCATTCAGGGATTCAGTCGTCTTATCATGGTTTGTTTTTATGTATAATTCTGAGTTTATGCGAAACCGACCTTTGGGGTCTAGTTCCACACCTTCCCCAGGTGGATACAAATTTTTCGCGGGTTCCTACTGCATGAAAAACTTTTATTTCCAGACATTTTCCGGGCAAGACCAAACTCCGTGCAGAGCCGAGCGGGACCGCTAACAGCCAGAAACTGACCCTTTGCAACACTTCTTTTCGATCGTGGTAGATGGCAGCACCTCCGTGAGCTCCTTCGCAGCCTCTTCGTCTCTTGCCTCATTCTGTCGCCCTCCCCCGTATCATTCTGCATAGAAATTTGTCCCGGATAAAAGGGAGGACTGTAGTTGTTTATAAAACTATGTTGAAAACTATAAAAATCTATAAGCTTATATTGAACATGTTTGCTTGGGGAGTGATTTCCGTGTTGATAGTAGAAGCTTAACTTGAGGTTTACCTCGTAGGAAGCTCCCTTCTTTGGCCCAAAAATGGGGACTGAGATTTTAGGGTGATGGAAAATATCGCTGTCTTCCGTTGTTAGTTAAATTTGTCGAGGCCAAACGATCCGGCGATTCCTAAACAAAATGTAAAAAGTAGAATTAAGTTTTCATAGGATTAACTCCAGAGAGCGATGAATCTGCATTTTCGGATGACGAAGAGATACGGGTAGATTGGCCTAGACCTGGTGTATTATTTATTTGGGCAAAAGGCGAATTTTTGTCCCTGCGGAAGGCGTCCTCTTTTTGGCTGTTCGAGAGATGCGATACGAGGGACCCTGATATGCCATGTATTTGTGGCAATGGAGAACATGTAAAAAAAAAATACGTGGGAACATGAGAGATTGCGTTGGTTTGGGGGTTAAAAGAGCTGCACTTCAACCAGGAAATCGAGGAATGGGGAATTTGGGTGGAGAGATCGCCACCATTCGATTAAATGGCTAGTCGACATTCCTCTGGTGATACCACGACCTCTCTTCGTGATTCTTGTTTGAAGGGATGACCATCGAAATTCGACCCTTCGAGTGTTGGCCCCCGATGCCAAGAAAGAGACCCTACCGGTCGACAAAATATGGCTATGGTTAACCGTTTCGTGCAGGTATGATGAGGGGAAGTCCGAGTAGGCCGCCCGTTCATCGGATCCGATGGTCGAACCCTCGGCGAAGTGCCTTACAAAATCGAGAGTAGCGTCCGCTCGTTTCGTCTAGGGACGATGATTCAACTCATGAGCCAGAAACTACATGCATCGTTTTTGGCGCGCTGGAAGTTGTTGCCCGCCGTGATCCGTCCCCTGTGGTTTTTCCGCCTCCCACTGGAACACATGATATAGAGACACTTGATGAATATGAGCCATCGATAGGCAGAAACACTGACCGAAAACCACTTTCGTCGATCTCGATGATTTTATCCTCGTCCGCCCACTTGGGGTGCGTGTTGGAAGGAGCGGACGAGAACTTCCCTAGTGAAATTCCTCCAGTCCACGAGCGTTTCGCTTCTCTTCGAGGATATGCATGTCGATAGGCGCTGTGATCGCCATATGGAAAGGTCGAGAGCCCAGCGTTACACAAGCACAAGGACGGGTTCGTATGCTTAGCCTTGAGCACGATTTCCTATAGGCGCTCTGGAAGGAGAACCTGCAGCCTCCATTTCTTGAAGTAACTAAAAGTGATTCTCGAGATCTCCCTTTTATTAAGAGATGAAGGCCGTACAATTCATCATACAGAACAGGTTTGGTATCTCTTAAAAGTATCAACCTGCGCTTTTCTAATCCCTTTCCAAGGGTATGGATTCGTACCTTATGACATTCTGCACAGACACAAGGAAGACATTCATTGGTTACCGTCAAATATCGATCCGTTCCGATTGGAACATGAGTGTGCGTCTAACGAATGATCTCCAAAAAAGTCACTACTCCAGACCGTAATTCTGTATTGCCTTTTGAGGACAGCAACTTAACACTGTAATGTAGTGTTGCATTAGGCCTAGCCTTACGTAAATTAACGTCTGGTCGTTCGATGAATGGGTACATCAGGCCTAGGTGTTAAATCTGGCTTCATTCGGGTTTCTCCTTAACCTTTTACATAGCCTAATATAAAGCTGAGGCTAAGGCATAGGCCAAAGGGCCTACCTTACTCTCCGCAACAGCGTTGTGCGGACGGTCGATCGAAGGATGTCGACCGAGAGACGTTCGGGTGAGTGATGAACGCATCCTTATTGTTGGATGATCACTCAAACTAACCGGAAACGAGTTGAAGAAATGACAGACGAAAAGAAGGAACTATGAACAGATAGGGGAAAATGAGAGAATCACCGAGAAGCAAGAGGAAGGCAGACGACCGTCCGTCACCAAAAAACCACGTAGGGAATCCCCCCAAACCCGGAAAGATCGGATCCGACCCAGACGGCTAACGGTCGATTCGCGCAGCCGAGGAGAACCGGTTCGCCGTTTTGGCGGGTGCAGGGATCACGAATCCCGCGATGCGATCGGCTTGGAGGAAAATCCACTCGAACGGCCCCGACCGGAGGCTACGTGCACGGAGCCTCCGTCTCCTTTCCTCCCTCGGCAGTCTCCAGTCGGCTGCCTGGCGCGACGGAGGGCGAATCTCACCGTGCGAGCGTTTTATACGTTTTCCAGTGAATTCATTCTTGCGACGGGCTTTCGGACCCATCCCCAGATTTCTCGTGACTTTCGTGACGCCATTTTCTGGTTCGGGAGTTCTTTCTTTTCTTGTGGCATAGCCAGAGGGGAGCCGTTGAAACGAGTTTCTCGTTGGCGCCCCTTCTCGATCTGTATGGAGTCGAGACGGAGGAGACGAGAAAGGGCCAACTAACAGTGAGCCTGGCCGTATATCGAGTCGCTCGTTGACGCAAAAGTTTACGAGTTTGTGAACGTACTCGAAGACGCTGTCTGCTTTTTCATCTGTTATTGGGACCGAGAAGGAAAAGCAGAAATTGTCAGGACTCGTTCGGGCAGTTCCCTTCATGTGATGAGGCTTTAAAAAAAGAGCATGGGTCGACGCGAAGACTTTTATTTTGGGCAATTTGGTCCCAGGAAATTAGTTTCATGCGTGATGATACTAGGAAGCCGAATACTATCATCGCAGAACGTGCGGATTTGAAGACAAGGGTGGACTCCGAGTCTTGCTTTTGATGCGACGAGCATGGATTTTGATGCCACGAAGAGGTTCGACGACATCGAGAACTGTCGTCATGCGGATAGTCATGTTATGGAGGATGTTGCGAAATCGAAGCAACTCGATATGGAGTCACGTTTTGGTGAATCCCTGTCTCGTGCGGAAGAGCGGGTTTTGGTCCTGGAGGTATGCAAAAAACAAGGGAATATCGTGGGGTCGGGTTCTGCCCGAGGGCGAAGAGGAAAACGCAGAGGAAACCATTGTTGAAAATTTTATGTCCGCCCTTTATATCCCAGACTCGTCGGTTTCAGCCATGATATTCTACACTGTACACAGGCTCCCTCGGCCTCGCATTCTGGAGAACGCCAACCTACTGGCTGGACTGGGGGTTCTGGCCAGGTAGACATCCTAACCCACCCCATTACCAACACACTCCTATAGCCGGAAGTTCAGGCGACGAGGCTTCTCATGGCGAGCACACTGATGGCGTCCACTTCATGAGCCATACTCCTGCAGTTATTCAGCGGCACCAGCCCATTCATTCTTGTTTCATTCATGGACTTACGTAAGTCTTTAGTCTCCGCAACGTTGAAAATGAGCGCTCATTTGTGCAAGTTTTTATTGGCAAACTGGTCAAAATTTGCAGTAGCTGAGAGATTGGCATGAGACAGAGTTACAAATGTGCATAGCAGCTAGGGCATTGTTGGGCCTGTCAGGTTTTTCTAATGGCGTAATGGGGGGGGGGGTTCTAATCCCTTATATCCCCCCCCCCCCCTTCCCTATGCCACTGAGCCCTTGCAATGTGAAAAACCAGGACACCAGAATGGAAAGAAAATTTAAATCAATAACTTTTATTGAGTCTTTACACGCATCAGAATTACATTGATGTTTACTGGAAGAATTCATAACAGAAACACGCTGTATAGAAATGTTAATATAGGGAATTAGTAGGAATCAGAAATTACAAGAACTTCCACAAATATTATAGTTCAACATGAAGACTTTTTTAGATTCTGGTTTGATTGTCAAGTCTTTGGTTCTATAGCAGTTTCTATGATCTGGTACAGAAGTCAAACATTTATCAACCTCATGGCATCATTTTTGTTTCTATGTAGGTTTTCAATCCTGTGATCTGATACTGAATTTTGCAAACATAAGTAGAGACATGCACAAGCCTTGGCATCAATGCTCTTATCAAGCAAAGGGACTGTCATGCCACAGTGACATCAATTATAATATTAATTGCCGATAACTAATGCTGATGGGACCACAATCAAACCAAAAATATTCATGAATGCATGATGGCTTAATATTCTGATGCTTTACAAAGAAGTGTGGTTCATACATCACTATAAACTTCCCAAGGATCGAGACTGGAACAAATGGGTGATAACATGGAAGAGCTTCAAGTTGTGGAATTCAGTCATCTTCCCCTTGAAACCTGTCAGACTGTACTGAGAAGCAAACTCCCTCTCCCAGACTCTGAACAATACTTGCAGTGTCATATCATCTCATGAAAGCCCATCAGAAGTGGTTTGGAAAGCCACCTGGTTCATCATTTTCTTCACATACTGAAGGTAAAGTGTCATTATGTCTTCTCATTGACATGCAAGACCATGAAACTGGGATGAATGAGACAAAGTTAAAAGATATATATATATAAAGGAGCTGTTGATGCCTTAATAATTCATTACTTCATTCAGGAAACTCACCATGTTCCTTAGAGAATTTCCTTTCTCAAGAGAAATGCTAGTCAGACATGACCAATTGGGAACTGAATAGGTAGATCATAATTTATCTTCTTGTTTAGAATGCTGGCCCTTCTCTGTGTGCAATATTCTCCAACCAAGCCACTTGCTAACTCAAGACTTTCTCTACACTCCACAAAGTCTGAGTTTGAAACACTATAAATGGTATGAAAGGATGTTAAAGCCAGTAGTACCTTGGGAAATTGCATAGATATGTTTTTATAGTTTGAGAACCAGCTTCGAGTCTTGCAAGACAAGGAATCTCTTGGACATCTCTAGTAATGGCCCCCATAAAATATTAGATTAATTTTGGTCTTCTAGGAGTCCTTCTACTACTGTCTCCACTATAGTTATCAAGTTATTAACAAAATATATGTTATAGAGACCAGAAACAATACTCATTGCTGCAATAAAAGTTAATTTTAAAGCCAATACTGGAAGGAATATCACTTATAATTTCCAATGTAGGCTGTAAGGTGGTCTTTTTGGCATATTGACAGAACCTATATGGCCCAAATCATCTCAAATGAAGTAATCTTTTTTTCTCCATCAGTTTCTTAAAGGTGAAGCAGCATTCATGACTGTGGGGTTACCCGGGTAACACATCCTTGTGGAAACAACATTGATGCACCACATTGATTCAATGTGAAGATGTCATTTTCATCAACATTGTTTCAACATTCCTTGTTGATGTTGGAACTATTGATGGTAACACTCATTCAACATCATTTTCATATAGTGTTAACATTCATTCAAAATTTCTCAATGAAGTTCAAAATGTGGCATTCCCCAGATGGATGGAGCCATTTGAGATTATCCAGCTTCATGGAGTGAAGCTGTTTTATTAGAAAAGCTTAATTTATGCATTAATGCAAAGGAGAAGCATCCTTGTAGTGTCTTGTGCCATCAAGCATCCTCCATGCCAAGAGAGATATCAAAAAGAGCATTTAAAATCGTTCCTCAGCTTTTCCTTGTGCAACCTATTCGATTGGCATCTTTTTTAACAATGGCTAATGTGCAAAATCGAAGTGGTGAAGTGAAGGGAGAGTATCAGAAAGGGTTGCACAATGAAACTATCAGTGGATGCTCCAACTACCCAGCTACTGCAGCTACCCATTCAATGGACTTCTTGTCCCTCTGTCTTCCACTTTCAAGTGTATGCTTTCCATTTTTTGCTAGGCTTTGGTTTTACAGTTCTGTTACCCTTCACCCATATTGAATAGAACAGAAATTAAATCTGGCATATTCAAATTCATTCCAACTTACAAGTTAAAAAAAAATTTTTTTTGGGAGGATAGTGCAGATGAAGATATATTGACATTCTCAGTAGCATATACATCAGTGCTGCCTCCCCATAAAACTTTTTGGTGGATTATGCACTACTTATTTGAAAATCATGGTGGTTAAATTTTGCATAACTAAGCCAAGTCCTACTCAATAGCTCTTAACAGGAAGATGACAACATTTTTTCCTCTGCCTTCATCAACCCAGATAACATTCAATGCTTCAATAAGTGGATAAAGGCATCCAAGGCATTATTATTTTCCTTCATTGCTCTCAAAATTTTGAAGTGAATGCAAACATTTCCACATTCACATGGAGTTTGATTTTAGGACAGAAAATGGGCTTGACAGATAGGTGTGGAATGAGAAAAGTAGGAATCACATATCCATATCTGAATTTTAGTTCATTTGGTTAGCAGAAGAATCACAAAGTACTTTCTTAAATTTGACTGTAGCTCTCTCATCCCAAGTCTTAGATCCTCCTACCCACTTGGCATAGTGAAGCTAGTTGCCAACAGCCTTTGTAAGATGAAAGTCCAGCACATCAGTATAGTTTTACCTCTCAGCTCCTAATAGGGAAGAAGCAGCAGAATTACATTAATCTACCAAGCACATCATGATAGTGTGGCACCTCCAAATGGAATATTAACAGTACATACCATACATACACATACCATACATACCATATTGTAAAACTGTCATAATGAAATCAGATATAAAACTTCCATGCCAGTGAAATTATTTTCATTCCTTGCTAAATGACCATAGGAATTATGAGAGAAAATCTTGCTTTAAAAAAAAAACTTAATAATGGAAAGTCATTATTGGTACGAATTTTGGGAATGGTGTCCCTACAATGAAAATAAAAATGAAAATACCTGGTACCCTTGTACCAGTTACTCTTCACAAGAAGGTTCACACACTTTCTCTGCTCATAGCTCCTGGCCTGCTTTGTGCACTTCCATGAGCTACCCTCCTTTCTTGTTCTCAGCCTATCCACCCTTTATTTTTCCTGCTCATGCTCTTTCTCACTTCTTTTATTTTATGCCTGCTATGCCTACATGAACTACAGGTACTCCTGGGCCTGGAAAGGAAGGATGGAGGAAACACCAACATAAACAGAACAGACATTATTTTCAATCTACTATAGGAAGTGAACATTGTTGACAAAATTCTGAGGAAATTTTGATGGAGAAATGCCAAAATGAAGTAATTCCCCCAGGAAGAAAGAAAAACAAAAGTTTCTATCCTTGTATTTTTCATTCCAGGTGCAGTAATTACATGTCAAAGCAAAGCAAGTTGGGATGAAACACACCAAAAAAGGCTGATTTTTGGTGAAGATTCTGGAAACTTCTCCTTTCTTCAACCAGTATGAGTCTAGAGGGAAGCAAACCCATTTTTCATGGAAATTACTAATACACTCCTGGTCAATCATCTGCATCAACTCCCCCTGTTCTTGCCAAGTAGCTCACTTTATTTTTAAAAAATATACATTTACTTTGTAATCAATTGAGAAAAATGAATAGAAGAAGAAATTTACAAGGAATGGAAATTGAAGAAGCAGATACTTTATACCAGTACAAGTAAAAATAACTGGTCATATTTCAGTAGTCCTAAACTCTTGCCTCATATTTGTGAAGAATAATGGAAAAATTTTCTTAATGTAAACAATAATTTCCTCCCTGCCTAGAAAACTCATAATAAAAAACTGTATTTAAGGATCACAGGATCATCAAATTATCCTGATCTTGGACCCTCAATGGGTATACCACTTTTGTGAACAGACAAAATTGAAACTAACCATTGACTGGAACTATGTATCATCTTTGAGAAAGTCCTCCACATATTCTAGCTCTTCATTATTTGTCATAGGGAATGTGGGCAACATAATTGGAGAGATTTCATTCGAAACCTGTAAAGGCACATTACAACTCTTTATGTCCTTCTTTTAGTCTTTGTTGGGATTCACTCATGATCTTCAGCTCTCTCAATCTCCTGAGGATCTTCTCTTGAAACACTATAAGAAAGTAAGCACTGCAACCATTAGATTTTCTCTTATCCATAGACCTACACATCTGCAGGGTTCATATTAACTCACTATAGCAAGTCCCTGACTCATGTTTTCTTGGAGGGGCTTGTATTTGCAAAACATCTAAGTCCATGGGACTCACTGACCTGAACATGTTCCCACTTTGCTGAAGTTAGGTGCCAGGACTCAAGATTTAAAAAAGCTAGTGTGAACCCTGCATTTGCTACATGTTCCATCACATCAAGTATACCTATAAAAACCCACCCAATTTTTCTAAAGAAGTAAATGCACTTCCATTGTCTTCATTTATTTTTTTTTTGGAGGGAAAATTTGATTTTTGGGGTGTCCAACTGGTCCTGAAAATGGGAGGTTTCCAGAGGAGGCATTTGGAGTTACATTTTCACTAGATGTGGAGGGGACAGAGTCTGTGACATACAAAAATAAATGCTAAAATGACAACTGCATGGTGGAAACAAGTTTACAAACTATCTTAGCAGAATTACCTATGAGCACTTCTACCTCTGAGAATTTTCTCAGTAATTTTGAAGCCTTTGCAAGAAGATAATTTGATGGAGGGGGTGGAGAAGCAGATGAAACTGTAACCTTCCACTTAGACCTTGGAGGTGTCACCTCATGAGATGATGATGCGGCAAAGAAAGGATGCTCTTGA